CTTTTGTGAGACCTTCCACACTTGTCACACTTATTCACTTCAATTCGGCTGTCGACTCTCCTGAATCAAGCTTTCATAGCACCTATATTTCATGACTGGAAGGATTGCCAACTCTGAGCCTCAATAAAACTTTGATCCCTCTAAATTTCAACTCTTCTGAAAGACCCTCCTCTTCTGAGAATCTTCTAAATTTAGCTCAATCCTTCTGGTCATTTTCACCAAAACAAAATAATCATTGATCCCAAGAGGAATTAGTGGTTGTTTAATCATATCATTTGCATTCGGAATCAACTGAGGTGCATAACCTGAAAGCATATTAAATTTTGTCTCATACTATATTAATGACCGATCACTTTATACAATCGGATAAATTTATCATGCATATGTCTTCTGACAGACAGAAGTACGAATCGGTCTCTAAAAGTTGCCACAAATCCATCTAACTATACAGAGTGATTGGCTCTACTCTCAAAATTCTCCTGCAACTATTCTCACACAACCACCTCTTTGTTTCTCGCTCTAAGGCAAAAGTGGCAAGTGCAACTCTCCTATTAGTGAACAAGACAACCTAATAAAATCATCATGCATTTGTCTTCTGCAGGCAGTGGTACGAATCAGTCTTTAAAAGTTATCACAAATCCATCTAACAATACGAAGTAGCTGACTCTACTCCCAAATTTCTCCTACAACTATTCTCACAACCACCTCTCTGTTTCTCTCTCTAAGGCAAAAGTAGCAAGTGCAACTCTCTTACTAGCGGACAAGACAACTCATCTAAAATTATATTCTCTCAACAGCTAGTTCTTAGTATACACTAGACTTTCTCCTCCAAAAAAGAGAGGTGGCCTCAAATCCTGAAATAACTTCAAATACTTGTTCATCTGGCCTCCCCCACTAAAACTAGCCCGATTCAAAGCGTTCTTAATCATCTGAATCTGAGTCACTACAATCATTATCTCAGCAAAAGAATCTACATTCATAATAATCTTTGGAGGTGCATCAATTTCCGCCCCAACATCTCTAACTTCTTCTTCTTGATTTTTCATATTTATGAAATAACATAAAAAGGTTTATAATTAGACACAATTTAACATTTCATTAATATTATTTATGAATTAACTTGATAAACTTAATAGCTCTTTTTTTTTCATGATCCAACTTAATCGCTCTAATATCACTTTTGTCATGACATGATCTGATATCTTAGAATTAACCATGTCAGAAATTGCAGTCACATAGTACTATTCATTTATATCATTCAATAATCCATCATAAGTTCAAATAATGAAAAAATCACTAAAAAAATTCATAAAGTATACTAAACAGAAATCAAATTCATCCAAAGTAACTACATAGACTGAGAGTAAAAGTATTACAATCAAACATTTCTTATATTTAAATGACATAAAAATTTAAAGCAAAATAAACAACTTACTAACTAATTTTATTAGTCATGTAAATCAAATCCCTCCAATTAGTCATACCAACCTCGTATTTTATTTGAAAGAAATAATTAATTGAAACAGTAAGTTAACACAACTTAGAGAACACTTACAAACTTATGATGTGTTAAATTAATATGCAAATGCGACGCATGAATGAACAAATAAATGTAGTTTATTACTTAACAAACTGTAAGCTTTCATTTTAAATTTAATCAGAAACTAATTACTCACCCTTTTTTCTTTGGTCACATGCTAGAGCCTTATGCACGAGTCGCCTCCTTCGTCTTTCTCCTCTTCCTTTTCTCTCGGCTCAACCCAACACAATACACATAATCCGCTTTAACCTACTCTTCCTCTGCTCGTGAGGTTCGACTCGTGCCTGCACATACAAGCCTTCTCCTCCTCTTCCTCTACATGGGAGCACGGCGTCGCTTCCTCCCTCGACTATGGCTCTGCATCAAATTTCAAGTAAGAAAAGAAACAAAACACTCCTATTATTCTTCATCTTTTCCATTATCGTTGCTTCCTTCTCCTTCCTCGCGTCTTCCCTCACTCGCAGACAAGCAGCTCGACTCAAGGATGATGGCTAGGGTTCGACATGATGCGCTTTACTCGGCTCAATAGTGGCCTCAGATACGAAGCTCCTCAATGAAGCAACAAGTTAGGGTTGGAAAAGATTCCGCCTCCCTTCTTCCTCTGATTCCTTCTGCTCTCGCTCTCTTTCTCGTTCTCGTTAGTTCTCTATATGCTACAATCAAAAGAGCCAAGATATGCTCCCCTTGACTTCACTGAAACAAACTATCTCGACAGTTAACGGTTTAACACATTTACTTATATAGTATTATTGATTTATTTTTAATTCAGTTATTACACCTCGAGATCTCCATTTTACCTAGCTCAAAAGACTTCTCAGATACCTCAATGTCACTCTCACTAAAGGATTACCAATCAATAAAATAGAGCTCACTCATCAAGTCTACTCAGACATTGATTGGGCAAGAAACACAACATATCAAAAATCTACCATAGGATATTAATCTTCTTAGGTCACACTCTCATATCATGATGTACCAGAAAGCAAACAACAATGGCGCTCTCCTCCAAGCCAAATTGTGACCTCTCCAATGATGTGAAATACATTGTATGGATCAGAAGGCCAATCCAAGATTTTTGAATTTCATCTCCCATGCTCACTCCCCTCTATTGCAATAACATCTTTGTCTGCCCTAACCAAAAATCTCATCTTCAACACTCGCACAAAACACATTGAAGGGCTTTCACTCCATCCATGGGTGTATAAAAAATTAGCATATCATCATTCACCGCATCTCCACAACAATCAAATAGCTACCATCTTCACTAAAGCACTGTCACTATGTGGGTTCCCGCTCTTTTGAAATAAGCTGACAATCCGGGAATAAAATATCAACTCGAGGGGCGGTAATAACAATTATAATCAAACCAAACAAAATGAACAATCCAATTGCTACTATAACCGACTAAAACAATCTTAGACCATTTGTGTATAAACAACAAAATTTGTTCGTTGAATCACGTGCACCTCTAACAAACTCATGAAACCAAACAATCTATAAATATCTATAATCATTCACTATAAGCATATAATACACAAAATTATTTCTACTACATATCATTTATTCTCCTTCTTTTGCACCGTAAGGTATTAGATACTTCTACAAGGTGCACCTAATGAGTATCATAAGTCAATGGATTCATCACCAAAATAAAGCTTTTGACCACTAAGAAAAATTTTGAGCTCTTTTCTAAATGAAATGAATAAGATTAAGTGGGCCATAATAAAAGAAATTCTATCTAAAGCTACCATACAAAAAGAAATTAAAAAACTATGAAATGCCTAAGCAATAATTGACCTCTTCAAGCTCCAAACAACCATCTATCTGTCCCCCATAATATTTTGCTAAGAATGAAAACTCTAACTTTGATCAAACCAATACAAAAATTGAATGCCAAAATAAGCTTCTTCACATTAAAACATTAAAAAAATCTTCAGCCAATAAAGATGTGGGACTATCCCTTTATGCTATGTTATGTTGCCCAAAATATGCTCATGAAGGATTAAGCATCAATGTTTCTTAATGGCTGTCTATGAGTTATGAGCCATGAGCACATTTGATGAGCCATGAATCCTTTTTAGCAAATGTTTAAGTCCACAAGGTTCCCTTAGATAAGACAGCCCATGATTGTTGACAAAATACTTTTATATGGTTTGACTAACTCCGCTAATAAAATAAGGCAATGCATGACAAATTAATCATGAGCTTTTGATCAAGTTTATCCTCATCAACTCTTAACCAACGGCAATTTATTTTTCTCTCCCCAATATAAATCTTTTGAAATTAAGAAATAGTATCTTAGAGCGTTTAGACTAAGTTTGATCAAAGGTGCTCCCTTGTGACCAGGATAGATAATTCACAATAAGAGCTGGTGCTTATGAAAACACCTCAAACTGGATTATAAAGTCCACAGGACATTTAAATCCATAGCTAATAATTTATTTGGAATACAATATGCCTTCTCAGACTTCAAACTCTATTTATTCTATAAAATGAGCTAGATTTGGATTTTTAAAGCTAACAATTTACGGCCAACATGGATAAGCATTAACATTGGAGCCCTTAATGCTGCCCTTCCTCGCTGTTTAAGAGGTTCAAAATAATGAGTATTTGGAATTAAGCAAGACCAAGTGATTTTTTTTCTTAAAGAATTTTATAATGAAAATAACTATTGTTTCTTCTGTTTTGAATGCACCAAAGAGCTCTATATTCTATCAATTCCTCAAATATATGCTCCAGAAAACATCATGGAATCCATATTTCATTTACAAGACGTGCCAAGAACAGCAAGGTCCTCTTCGTTTGACTTCTATCAATAAAATCCACCTATAATTTGGTCCCAAAGTACATTTAGCCCATTATTGACTATCTATTCTTCATAAATAATCAAGTCAAATGAAGCACGTGAGATACTTGTGAGTTTCTATGACATTGACCAAGTCCAGCTTAAAAAGGCCTCCCCATTGCATGAGCAATCCCATCAAACAGACAAACCCGCCCAAGCGCCCAAAAGCGGACTTCAATCCCACAAGAAATTCCAATTTGAACTTCAACAAAAAACGCACCGAAATGTTCTGCATTGACATTTGAGGATAAGAATAAAAACGTACGGCGATACACAAAAAAGAAGGTTTTATACGCTGATGGAAAAATTGAAAACGATGTGTGCGCTTTTTTGAGTAATTAAACTTACGCATTCGAACAAGCCGTCATGATCAAAAGTAGTAATTTATTCACATAAAATTCTTCTTACAAATAACAAATTGCAATCTTTAATAAAAGTGTATCCATATAAAAAAAATTATTACCAAGAACTGTTGATCTTCAGTTTCAATTTCCCATAGTATCTTTTTCATGAAAATTCAACCTATCCAACCTCATATGAGAAATAGAAGCATTATCTATAATAATTAAGGGAGAAACAAAAACCTAACAAATCCAATTGAAGCAGCAGACTTACAGCAACTCCTCCAATGAGCTCTATCAGGGCAGATGCACATGAAATTTCTTGTTTCATTATTATATCCACACTGTCCCTTACTCCGCGAACACTCAGAACAATCCGGTGAAGTCCAGTTCAGCAGAAACCCATTAGCCAGAAGCTGAGGATATTTCTTAACATCAGGATCAGGAGAAGTCAGCACGGGCATGACAACCGTGTAGCAAGAACCAAAAGAACCCTCGCTCTCCTCAATCCGATAAGTTCCTCCGAGATACGCGTAGCTCCTGTTGTTATGACAAGTGATCGCTACAAATCCATCTTTCCGCGCAGAGCAGTTGTAGACGAAGACCAGCTCACGGTTAAGTGAGCTGATGGTGAAAGGAGTGAGGCTGAAGGAGAGATTGTAGTAAGGAAGTAGGCAAGTATCCGAAGAGGCAAACCTTGCCATTGAAACAGTAATTGTTCTTTTGTCATAAGATATGTCGAGGACATGGTAGTCTTCTTCTGGAATGGAAAGCTTTGTTGTATCATTTTCGCACCGGAGCTCGAAAGCCGGGTAGCCGCAGTAGTCAGGCTGAAGGCTTCGGAACCAGAAAGGGAAGCTGACATTGATTAGGTTTCCGCAGCTCTTGGGCTGGCAGTTTTGGAGGTAATAGTGGTCGGTGGATTCAGATGTGGGAAGAAGAGAAGAGAAGACGAGTACAGAGAAGAGGAGGAAGAGATTGGGGAAGGGGAGTGGAGGAAGGATCGTAGGGTTCATATGAAGAAGAGGAGAAATCCGAAGTAGATGAAGTTGAGGACTGCACGAGAAGGTCGGGATATGGCATTTTGATAGCTGATGGTGATCGGGATGTGACGCGGTCTCTTTCGGCTGTTAAAGGTCAAAGTTTGACTAAAAATAAGTTTTCAAATTAAAAAAAAAAATAGTGAAGTTGGTGTAGCTATGACGTGCTTTGGCTATTTTATATTTCAAAGTTTATGATCTGATCTCTTTTTTAGGGCTTGTCTTTGGCTATTTTATATTTCAAAGTTTATGATCTGAAAATTTGGATTATATCCATATCAAAATAATCTCTTTTTTAGGGCTTGCCTCTGGTGCTCTTCATTATCTTCGTGTCGTTGGACATTAATCTCGTCTCTTACCATAGAGCGATTATTGTGTGCGTATACCTGATGCAAACTTGCGTCGGTGTCTAATCTGGGCCACTGAAATACACATTTTTGTTTTTTTATTAGAATGGGACTCACTCAAATTTTTTTGAGGGTTCACACGCAAAAATTTTTCCTTGCCATCATCTTCCTTCGTCTCCTTAGTATAATGACATCTCGGAGTCATTGTTGGCCATTACCTCTTACTTTGTATCCTATTTTGTCTCAATTTCTACTATGTAACAAGTTGGATTGTCTCCAACAATTCATCCACCTTAGGTATACTCACAAATTCACTCTTTCTTCTACTTTTTTTTTCTTGTGTGTGTATGGCTTCCATTTCAAGCACTATATAATGAATTGAGTTGTTTTCTTGGTCATGGATGCCAAATATTGAAAAGTACAGTTATTGTTCATCTATTGTTTATTTCAAAAGATCTTAACTAAATTGGTAGGGTTTTTTTTTATAGGTTAGATACATTTTACTTTTAACTCTAGTATAATCATTTTTATCGCTTTCAAAGTTGATATTTAAGGAAAAATGAGCACTAAGATGCTCAGTTTTTTATGTGCTTAGCAATAGGAATATTTGTTTCCCGGAGCTACATTATCTTTGCGTTAATTTTTCGCCTTTAAAAGTTGTTTGTTGTTGAGTAAAAAGTGTAGCTATTTCTTATTATGTGTTGGTTGGTCTTTTTGATTTTAGAAACTAAAATCTTTTACTTTCTTAAGAATGAATTAGAATAAATCATCCACAAATAATGATGTCTTTCAAAATATTGAAGTATACTATAAATTTAATACACAAAGTATTTTATATGTCTGTTAGATGGGTGAAAAAAATGCGAAAAAATTTTATTGATGCCCTCTGAAACTAGTCAGACACCGATTGTCAATTTTTCAAATGAATGGATGAAATTGAAGCATTAGTGCATGATATTTTGTGCGTGCTACGAGCCGTAACGAGCTGTTACAAAAGAATTTTGAGTCCAGCTCCTTTCATTGGAAGAGCTTGGTTGGAGTCGTTATTGTACATATAGTATATTTATTGTTATGCTTAAGTAATATTTGTTTTTCTATATTTTGGTTTCTTAATGTGTCATTTTAATTTTGGAGGTGTGTAAAAGTCTAATATGCAGGAAGTTATCATTATCGTCATTATTTATATTTGAAGTTTTAACCCTCAATATACTCTTCCTTGTGAACTTGTAATGAAACAGTTATGATCCATATTTTTGCCTCTTAATTTTCTCCACTTGCAAATTGATGCAAATATTTTTATTATTATTTAGAGCTGAAGTGGCAAATATAGTGAATAACCTTTTTTATACGTTTATGTATATTTGTGCATTGGGTAGGCGGGGGGAGGGGGGGTTAG